ATAGGTCTATTTCACATTTTAAGAGGTCTCTAGAAACAAATGGCACACTGGTAAAATGGAAGAGAGGGAAAATATGCACATCCAAAACAATGGTAAAATGTCTACAGTAATATAACGCAATAACAGAGATATGTTACTTCCCAAAAATGTACTTACTCAGAATACATTTTGCTACCTGGTGCTAACAGGGCAATGCTACCAAGCTAAACCTCGGCTGAATTATCAAAAGTTTACACAGGTGCCTTCTGGCGCCACTCTGACCTCTAGTGGCTGCAATGGGAAAAGCACTAAGAGCGTTCCAGTGAGTTTTGGATAACTAACATGTGAATTTGAAATCCTTGAGTGCAATTACTACAATTAAAGGATCAGTGTGTGTGAGATCAAAGTTGGGGTTGTTCTAATACAAGCGCCTATCTGTCTTGCTAGCCAAAACAAAGGAACATGTTTATTTGGGATGGAAGTAAATCACAGTCCATGGCTGATTAATCAAGGGCCGACCCTGAGCTAGTCGCCTCCATAATAAAGGAGTTAGTTTTAATGGCGCAATGGATTTTAAATGAGATTGGTGGTATCCACTGGACAGGACGACAACTGGCTTTCTGGGGGCCTACAATCTCCTGCGCTGACCTTGTCTGAGGACTCACCGCTAATACTATGAAAACAGAAGCTAATCTCTTACACCAACATATGTGGCTTCCAGCTCAATGCATTTATCATCATAATAATAGGCTTTCATGAGGTCCTAGCATGCTAACAGCACCCTGAACTAGCTCGGCCTGATAAATGAAGTACTACTGCAGACCAAAACAGACCGTTAAAGATATGAAAGAATGTGGTTGTTCGCAATCACACGATTCCTCCATTTATTTCTCTTTGTCATTGAACTAAATATGTTCCAGGTTCAACTGACAAGTGAGCTAAAATTACACAAATAAAAAGCAAACACAAGGTCCTTCAGCTCACTGAGTCCAATAATGGCCATGTTTCAAGAGCGTACTTGTTTGGTCAGATATTTCTCAGGTTCAGTACAAGGATAATGTGTAACCCACCAGTCCAAGTAATGAACAAGGCAAAAATCGAGAGCAAATCCTATGTTTCTCATAGTTCTTTGCAACATTTAAACTGGACTAAAAACAAAACAAAACAAATTTTGGACATGCAAAAAAAGCCTGATTTTTGCTGCCAGAACAAACTTTGTCTTGTCGCTACTGCCGAAACAACACTTTATTTCGCACCATACTTGTACTGTATGGCTGGAATGACAAATAACTAAGCTTGAACTTGTATTTGATATAAATGACTGTGACGAACCAACCAAGAACTACAGCTGCGGTGGAGCCTTGGTTGCAGTATTTCAGGAAAGATGTCAGAGAAATATTCTAATCACTTTTTATGAGGTTAAGCACAGATTTAAACAATGAAACCTGGGGAAAAAACACAACAGATAAGTCACATCACACAGCAGTGATATATTTACTACCTGCATGCAGTTTTGATCTAGCAATACACCAATATAAAACAGAAACACCACTCTTAGATGAATTTTTAACTTGGATATTAAAAAAGAAATATACTTAATTACCATTCTGTACAGGTCTGTAACAGATTTTTCTTCAGCCATTACTTCAGTCACATGATCCGGTAACACTTTAGTATAGGGACCAATTCTCACTATTAACTAGTTGCTTATTAGCTTGCATATTACTACCGTATTGGCTATTTATACTTATAAAGCACATATTTTGCATGACCATATTCTCCATCCCTAATCCTACCCAATACCTAAATTTAACATTTACCCTACTAAGCAGTAATTAGGAGTTTATTGAGGCAAAAGACATAGTTAATAATTAATTAATAGCAAGAATTGGACCTTAAAATAAAGTGTGACCTATGATCCTTCAAAATCTGCATTACATACAATAATATCACATAAGAATTGTGAATAAATATTAAAATTATATATAGTTATATATAAATTACACTAATTTTATATATTATGCGATTGTATTTATTTATTAAATTTACTTAACGCCATACTGACAAAAATACCACTGAGTTAATTATGACAACAATTATATGACATTTTTTGCAGGAATGTAAATTCCATATCCTGATGGACAAGGAGCGAATTTTCATATGGTTGACTTATTATGGGAGCTTTAGCCCATGATTGACCCTCAAAACTGGTCATAAACCCCGGGCTACACTTGACACGTGCAAAGACCGGCAATTCACCTTTTAGCCGGGTCTGTCTCAATTTTCCATTGATGAAATTAGAGAGTGAATAGCAGATGGCTGCACTCGTGAAAGCAAAGAGAACTAAATCTTTCCATCTCAACCATGAGGTCGCCCGTGTCACATTTGAGTTTGCTTCTGATTGAGCCGTTGGCCAGAAGGATACCTTGCAAAGACTACACCATGTTGGTTATAGTAGCGTGTGATTTAATGCCAGTGTGTTCCCTCTGTCCTGTCTCTCTATTAGGCTTTTGATGAGTCTGGAGACAGGAAACCGCTTGTTGGTACAGCTGGGAAGCTTTTGCAGGCATCATTCACTTAAATATTTAAGAATCCTTTCTTGGTCTATCATGTAAAGACTGCCCAATGTCTGTCTGTAAGAAGCAGACGAGGTGTGATTTCACATTCTAACCTCTTAAAGGTACAGTACATACAAAAATTTTTTTTTTAATTCTGTCATTGTTTACTGACCCTTATGTTGTTCCAAACCTGTATGACTTTGTCTTCGGTGGAAAACAAAAGTACATATTTAACAGAAAGTTCACGCTGCTCTTTACCTTTTCATGAAAGTGAATGTGTTATGTGTTATGAAAGTGGTTTGCAAAGTTTCATTTAGGTACAAACTAATGGAATACAAACTTGAAATGCTAAAATACAGTCTGAACCCAGATAGGGTCTGGAAGGTATTAGCAATCTTATAACAAAATTCCCCAAAATCAACTGTTTTGAAAGTGTACCTGGCTTCAACACCGATTTTAACTGATCCAGCAGAAATCTGCTGATGTAAGCCCGGGGGAAGTTGTTCCCTGCTGTATGATATGTTAACCACATTTGGACTCTTTCACGATCTCTCATCCACCGTTTCCAAGCCAACAAAAATGGGTGACTCTGGTTGAGTCAGCAAAGTGTTAATGTGTTTCCTCTACAGACCTATGTTCCAACCATTCCTGTGTCTGTATATATTATATTTGTGTAGAGTTCCAGTCTGAGGTTAAAAAAATCACCACAAAATAAACAGTGTTAAATTATCTCCAACAACATTCATTTAAAACTAACTTTAGAAGAATGACTCAGGTAGTACAAACCAGTGGGGCTCAAACCAGATGAAAGCAGTCTCATAGCATGCTAATAAACAGACTTACACTTTTTACAAGAAAGGTGACCATAAAGTGGACATTGTTCAATCCTATAATGCAGAGCAATAACGAGTGTACAACTGATGTAGACTTAATGGCTAGCTTAGATTACCCATGAGCATCACACTGAATGAATTTACTTCTTTAAGTGGACTATATTAGTGGAGTAATGTAAGAGTAGTGAATGAGTGAGTGATTTCGGACATCGAAATACATTTAAGGACTTGGGAGGTAAGCAACCACAAGAATGAAATTAGCGCTGTGCTAACAACTACTCAGAACAACTAATCAATAACATACATTAGCAATGACCTGATAACCACACAAAACACCTTAGTAAAACCCTAGAAACCACCTGGAACACTATCAACCACTAAAAAAACAACAGAGAATGCAATCACCTAGCCAGCTTCAAGAAACCACACAAAATGCAGTAGCAACCAAATAGCAATGCGCTAACAACCACCAGAATATGTTTTTAATTGCATAAGAATGCACTGAAAACCACCCAGAACGGCCTAGCAACACCCTAGAAACTAGCCAAGGTACCACTAAGAAATACACTAGCATCCATCTAGCAAGGTCCAAGAAACCACACAGAATACAGTAGCAACCAAATAGCAATACGCTAACCACCACCCACTCAAAACATGTAATTAATCTCATAGCAATGCACTGGCAAGTGGCGACCAGCAAGAACACTCTAGCAACACCCTCAAAACAACCTAGAACACCCTATCAACCAAACAGAAACATGCTGTCAACCAACAAGAACACTTTAGCAATTGCATAGCAATGTCCTCGCAGCCACCCAGAACATGATTTTGCAAAAGAAAAGATAAAAAACATTGTTAATTTAAATATGTTAACATTTCAAATCTTATTTGGGCTAAAAAGGTATTTTGTCTGAAGTCCACATAGGTAAACCAAGACTTTGTAGACAAAAGCAGGCCCCTGCTGGAAAATCCAGTTTAAGCATCTGTGCCCCAAAAACCAGCATGAACCCTCTGAACTGGTATGACCAGCTGTTATTTGCTGTTCCAAGTTGATCTACCAGCTTGGACCAGCTAGAAATCAGCATGTTCCAAAACACAGCTATCACCCTAAGCTGGATTTTCCAGTAGAACCTTATTTGGCAATTAGACACTGGTGGTTTGAACAGAATGGAATTTTATCTGTGAGAGTTACATGTAATATGACAACTCTCAGATGTTCTGAATAAGCCAATACACAACCCAGATGGCTTTAGGGACAGTTGAAAAATGTTTATTCATCTCCAAAGAAAAAACACTCATAACATGTGGAGTAAAGAAAAAAAACTACATTAATGTGTGGTAAGACCATTAGACAGAATTACATCTGATATCCACCACTGAGTGTCCATAAATGCTAAACTCAAAATATCCACTAGAGAGCACCAAACTACTCCCTCCAAGTCTAAAAGTCTAAATTACATTATTGCTAATTAAAACATTTTCAAAAAGAGGTCTGTCCTGAATGAGAGTAAGAACATATGAAGACAACTTCCTGAGGTGAAGGAATTCACTGATCAGGAGCATTTCTGAACAGATTATTCACTTATTTTTCTTAGCAGCGATTCTTTTCGAGCGGCGGAGGCCTCCGACATCACGCTTTGGAGGGTTTAGGTACAGGAGGAGAGGCAGGAGGTTTGGAGGGTTTTGGAGCAGGAGGAGAGTCAGGAGGTTTGGGGTCTGAAGGGAGTTTAGGGGCAGTAGAGTGTTTGGTGCCTCTGTGGACTTTTTTCTGTGGTTTAGCTGACTGTGGTGCCTCCTACGTAGTCGAAAGCAAATTTCATTGACTAAAAATTTGTAGGTACAGATTAAAGGCCCGTTCACACCATGAACGATAACTATATTAGCTATATTTAAAGTCAGGTGGATTTTGATTGTCTGTCAATGTTTTTATTGTTCATTAGCTGGACGATAACGCTCTATAAATGTTTCCAATTATAATATTCCTCTGTGTCATTATCGTTATAGCTATGTGGAAAATCTCTCTCAATTAGAATGATTATTAAAACTATAGTTGCCATTATAGTTATCATCATTGTAATGGACCTTTATTCAGTTTGAATGTCTGCTTAGTGCTAAAAGTATCAGATCGGAAATAGCAAACAGTAATCAAAAGTGATCCACTAACCTCTTTACCGGACAGCTGGGATTCCAGAACAGATATTTCTGCTTTCAGAGTATCTATGTTTACCTTCCCACAAAAAAAAGGATCATCTTAAGTCCAAAACGTTCAAATTACACATTTTTGAAATATCTGAGGATGTGCTCTTGCTAGCAGTCACCTTGATTTGGTTGATGTTCTCCTTACAGCTGTCAGTGTCCTTCATGAGTCGCTCCTCCTTTTCTCTGAAAACAAAATAACTGTAGATGTATCAAAAATCTAAACACTGCTAATCTGCAGCAACAACTTTAGCATGTTGAGAAGAGATTTAGAACTGATAAATTAGCGATTGAGCTAACGGTTTTCTTCTGGTGGACAATAAAACTGGCAAAAACATCCCATAGATGTACATTGATGTGGGGACACAGAAGACTTGGAGGGAACCACCCAGAACACCCTAGCAACCGCATGGCAACATTTTAGCATCATGCTAGTGAGTTTTGGATGGGTAAGTACCACTAGAAAAGCCATTCTTTCATTGTGTGCATGCTGTCTGGTTAATACCTCAATACTTGTGCTTTTTCCGCCTCTGTCTTGAGTTTGCTGACCTCTGCCTTCTCCTCAGCAGTAGTGCAGTGCACATCAGCAACCTTTAGTTTGGCAAGGAGATCTTTAAGATCAAGCCCTTCCAGCTGACTAGAGCTCAGGGACCTCAGAAGTATTTCCATGGAAATTTGCTGTAAACGTTCACATGACGCCACCTCAAACACCGGAGCCACAGATATTGAGATCAGACAGGTGTTTCACAAGCATCACATTGTGAAAATGGTGTGTCTGAAGAGAAAAATGCATTACAAATATGTCATATATCACCTTAGAAAGCTCTGTTTGTATTTTGTCAAGTACAGCAAGGCCCATGTCCCGCATTTGTTTCATGCTCTTCAGAGACTTTTGCAAGTCGCTTAACTCTTGCTGTAAACCAAATTGTCACGAAAATGTCCTCTTGGTTTAATTTAATTCTCAAGATGAAAAGAAAATCTTAATGACAATGATCAGGAGAGGATGTGACATTGTGTATGTATACTGTGTGCAATATGCAACATTTCAGTGTGCACAGAATACCAGGTGACCTACTATATTTGCAAAACTCTCAATATGCAAATTAATAAGTAATGTAATATTAACAGCGGTTTTAAACAAAATTTGACAAATATTGGAATAAACATATGGTAAATAATCAGAGATTTTTCTGAGATGATAACTGGACACCACTCGCTACAACTGAAAATGTTTAGCATTGCATAACATGTAGTAGTTTTTTTAAAATAGCATGCAGTATTTAGTGTATACTATGCAGTATACTAATATTCCATCTAAAAATATGCATTCATTGACCTGCGCCTGTTGAACTCGCTTTTTCCATTTGCTTTGATAGACAAACTCCAGGTCTGTGTCTGTCCATTTGTATCCCTGCATTCCCTGGATGAAGATTTCAGGATCGGTATTCCCAGTGGTTGCTGGACAGTCATGAAAGTGAATATTAAAGCAATAAAATTATACTGAACAAGAATCAGTGAGTATATGTGGTGCGGTACCATTACTAACAAATATAAAAACATAGAGAGATGTGTGAATATGATTACTTATGTCAGTGAGCATATGAAATCACCTGATGCTGCTGTAGAACTAGACCTCCTGATGGACTTCCTCTCATCTTTAACTTTGGGGTGCTGGAGAACTTCATTTGATCCATTGCAAGAAAGGTGTTTGGTTATTTCCTTGGAAAGAAATTTGAACTCATTAAGAAATTTCATAAAGTGATTCTTAAAAATGTGAACATTTAAAATAATGCTAATAAATATAAATGTTTATAGTTTCATCCTAAGCAAAATTAATAAATGTAAATGTTTTAAGTATTTTTTAATGTCAAGCTAAGACACATTTATACGCAAATGAAGATATTTTGCATCCAATGTCTCCTTTAAAATGAAAATATTATAATCTTAATACAAGTGATGAAGGATTTCGACAGTCTGACAGTTATCAGTCTTGAGCACATATTGTAAGTTTAACCCTGCCTGGTTTACATGTTTGAAAATGATTAACAGTTGAAAACATTAGAAATTTAGAAAAGTAATCAAAAAGTAATCAAATGTAATCAGTTACATTACTTTAATAAAGTAATTGAAAAGTTACACTACTTATTACATTTTAAGTAGGGTAACTTGTAATCTGTAACCTATTACATTTCCAAAGTAACCTTCCCAACACTGGTTATGTGACTAAATTAATGCAATCCATTTCCAGTATGTTGGAAACACATGGGTGAGGACAAGCCAAAACATTCTCATTATAAAAAATAAAAAAAAGAATTAAGTCTAAAGAAATGTAGATATTATCATGAAGCAAAAGAGGCCATATAGGCTATTCATTGTTAATGGTACACATTAGAATTTGTTCGTGAGAAACACGAATGACCCACTGATATACTATCGCTGTGTTTGTTTGTTTGTTTACCTGGCCGCATGGCTCATCTTTGACCACTTGTTCTGATGTTGGAGAAGCATCTGGTTCGCTGGGCTGGTGTGTTGTTACTCTTTCACTTTCAGATGGAGGTGTCCTCTCTAACTGTCGCCCGGCAGGTATAATATTTGGATGTTCATCGATTATTGATTGCGTTAGTGAAGGTGCATCATCCGCATCCAAATTACGCACATTTTTGGTGCGCTTAATTCTGCCTTCCTTCGAGCTCATATGAGCTGCCGGTGTTTTTAACACTTAAAATTTACAGCTGAGGATGTTTGAAGAACAATGCTACAATCTTGACGCTCTCAAACTGAAGTTACTCCATGTGATGATTCGTGGTAATGACATTTGGCGGCCACTAGGGGCGATAATAAACAGCTGCAAAAGATACTTGTAGCGCTCACTGTTATTGTACAGTTGTTAAACTCAAGACAGAAGCAGTACATCTTTTTTTTTTTTTTTTGCTAGTTTCCCTCGTTAATATGTAATGTCTTTTCTCTGTGTTACATTTACCAACCAGGTTTCACTATATAAAAACTTTAATGTTTACTCAACAGGCTCTACAGCTCAGAATATTGCAGTGAATTAAGTTAACCGGCAGAGGGTATCATTTCTCAGGCAAAAACTGTGACAGTCCACATAATATTGAGGCTACTTTTAAAATGTATGAATGTCATCTCGTTGCGAATATCGAACCAAATGGCATTTAGTTATAAAGAGTGAAAAAAAAAAATAT